TGGAAGTCAGCCTCAAGCACAGAAGAGGCAATGACCAGCACTCCCTCCTTTCCCAGCTAGGGGTGCATCTGCTCAGGCCTTTCCTACCAGAGCAACAGACTTTAGGGGCAGGGTCTGCATCCAGAAAGAAGTTTCACTTCAGTGCCTGCCAGGGGCAGATGCAGAGGGGCCTTGACACCATGGCTGCCCCCCCCCCTTTCAAACTCACCACAGGAGCAGCAGTTGGGGACTCAAGTCCCTGAAGCAGGTAAGAATCCCCCATCCTGTCCCCTCCAACCTCAGCAGCACGTTCCCCTCCGGTCCCATTCCCTCCCCCTTCCCGTGCCCGCAGCTGCCACTCCCCTGTGGGCAGGGGAAGCGCCAGACCTGCTCATGCCCTGCTCCAACCCGACTGCCAGGCAAACCCAACTAGCAGCAGGCAGGCTCCCCCTTCCTGTCTGCCACCCCTAGGTGTCCCCAGCCAGCACAGGCACAGGGAGAGGGAAGCCACCTGCTATTGCCACTGTTCCCAGCTGGGCCCATCTCCCCACCCGGTCCAACTGGAGCATGGCAGAAGCAGCTTTGGCACTCCCCTCACACCTGGGTCAGCTGGAGACAGTGGTAGCAGCAGGGAGGGGACCAGGTGAAGTGAGAGAGGAGGGGATGTGCTGCTGGGCATGAAGGGGGGTACTGAGAGCTGGGGCAGGATTCTTCCCCGGCTGGGGGACTTAACATCCCCAGCTGCTGCTTCCACAGCGCAGTCTGCCTGTCCTTGGGTGGGTGGGGGAAGCAGGGATGCAGCCACCCCCTCCCCCCCCAGCGCCAGTCATTGCTCTCACCACCCTTTACAAAACTGTGCACCTACCCACAGTCCCTGCTGTCACACTGAAGCAGCTCCACAAAGTCTCTTAGAATAGGAGCCATGGGGGCAGGCGCCTCTTGCTCGGCACATGCAGCAATGGCAAGTTCAGCCACATTGTACCCGTCTTCTGACCCAAACTTAAGTCCAGGAATGTCCAATCTGTGTGGCCAAGTGCTATGGGTTCCCAGGCCACATACTTTGCATGTGTCCCCATGCCACACCATGTGCCCCCCCCCCGCCCCACGCTATATGGCTCCCTACCCCATATCATATGGCAGGCAACCCCTGCTGCACTGCACCAACATCTCTGGGTCCCCCTCAAGTTCCCCAGGAACAGGGGCCTCAGCTCCATGTTGTGCCATCCCACCCCCAGGGGCAGGTGCAGGAATAAGGAGCAGAAGCTGGAGGAAGGAAGGGGAGCCTAGAAACCCCAGTATTAGCAGCAGAAGCAGGGCCCGTGCCAGTTCTGTTGCTTCTTTGTGCCACATACAGACTGCTGGGTCTGGGAGAAAATGATGGGGCAATTAGCAAGTCCAAATCCTGCTGAAGGAAGGACTACAAAGCTCCATTGACTTGGATGGTGGCTCTGCAGCATTTAGGTTATGAACAGAATCAATGCCCTACAAAGCCACAGCATAGCTGGCAGGAAGCCTAGGTGTCCCACTTTCTTGTAAGGAGTGTCCACTACCAAAGTGCCAGGCCAAAGCCACAAAGGGGCGGGGTGGAGGGGACAGAGGCTTGAGGCTCTCTGGCATCAAGGAGCTCTCTTCTCATAGTTTGCAGAAAAGAATCTCTCCTGCAGACACGTCCCTTGCTCAGCAAGACTCCAGGCTGCTTTCATAAAAGGTAGTTAATGCTACACAGCAGAGATGCTCACCCCAGAAAATCCTTCCTGTTTAACTTCATCCCAGTCCCAGGAAGGGAGAGCAATGCCTGCTGAGAGATACCAGGTTCAGACATGCAGTAGCTAGGGACAAAAGGGAAAAGTCCCTTTATTGTTTGCAGACAAGGTTCCTTGGGTAAATCTGATATCTTTTATTAGACCAACCCAAATAGCTGGAAAAATTCTTCTTATCAAGCTTTTGGGTTTAAATACCCTTTGTCAGGTTGAAGAAGCACCTGCAGTTGGTGTGTGCTCTCCCTGGCTGGAATGCAAGTTTTTGACATTCAAGACCTGGTGCCTACTCCAGACCCGGACTGCGAGATGCATTTCATGGAGACCTACATCCAGGTAAGGGTAGCTCAGGGATTCATGACCCTGGAGCTCTGATGCCGTATCAAAGTATGACTCCCCGCACACCATGATCTTAAGACAGCAGGCTTCTTCCTTAAGTGAAACCCCAGGAGTCAACAGGATGGATTGTTACAATGCCCCCAGCACTAACTGTAGGTTAAACAGCTCAGCAATTCAAGTTGTGACAAATAAAAACCCTTGGGGCATCTTTACATGTGCTTCAGGTTGGGGGGGGGGGTGCTTTAATTCAAGTGGCCCTCAGAAGCTAATTTAAGCGACTGCAGCATCACGTGCATTCAGCGCATGTTGGTGCGGACACACTTGCTCTTCTCAGACATTGCTTTCATGCCACCATATTCACTTTTATAGCACAAATGCCCATCATTTGTGGCTGTAACGGAAGTGGCAATAGGCACCTATTACAATAAAGCAGCAGGAACTGTTAGCTTTACGGAGACAGTCCAGTCCAGAGCTTCCTGTGCTCTCTGGCCACTCCAGGCAGGTGTGCCAAGGGCTTGAGGGGCCTAAACCTTGCGCCCCAGGAATTCCCATGTAGGATTGGGCCCCTTTGAGCCTCAGGAGCAGCTGCCTGGCTTTTCCTCCCTTACAGAGACATGTCCCAGGGAATCCCCAGGGCATATCTCCACCCTGGCTTTCCTCACGTACCAAGACATGCCTCACACATTCCCCAGGCATGTCTCTGTAGAAAGGGAAAGCTAGGATTTCCCATTTGCAGAGACATGCCCCAGGGCATCTCCTAGATGCATCTTTAACCACAGGACACAGCCCGTTGTCCCACAAGAGGGAGACCCTGCCCAACACAGGACAACGGGCTAAGCAGGTTTCACACAATGAAGCAGATAAGCTGTAGTGGGACACATCCTCCCTCTGCCCCCCTCCCCAGCCCACCTGCTTCATTTGTCAGTTTATAGCCTCGGGGTCAGAGCCCATGTACCAGAAAGCTGCTGTTAAAGGTACTGAAGAGTTTATAAACCAGGGGCTCAAGGCTCAGGACTCCAAAGACATGTCTACACTACAGGGTTGGCAAGCCCCCTTCAAGCCATGCCAGCACACCTCCATTCACCCACTCTTGCAGGCATGCTCATCACAGAAATATGCTGGTGAAGATGTTCCAAAGTTCACCCCTAGAGGCTTCTTTTTGGTACATTTGAGATTCATCCCAGGGGAATGTCCTGGCGAGCCTCACAAGCTTATTTCCAGGTTTGGAGCCTGTGAGTAGGGTGTGTTCAGGGATAGGCCAGCTGGAACCTACTGCTGCCACACTGCAGATGTGCCCCAGGCCACTTGAAGATGGGCCAGCTTGGATTTTATTTTATTTTTTGGTGTAGAGCTTTTTTTTTTTTTTTTTTTTTTTGGGGTAGAGCTTTTTTTTTTTTTTTGGGGTAGAGCTTTTTTTTTTTTTTTGGGGTAGAGCTTTTTTTTTTTTTTTGGGGTAGAGCTTTTTTTTTTTTTTTGGGGTAGAGCTTTTTTTTTTTTTTTTTTTGCAGGAGAGCGCTGGATCCATTTGAAAATTTGTCATTTTCCTTCCCATTGCCAGGTTCATGGGAGAGGCAGGAGCAGCAAGTGGCACAGATTTCCGAATGCAACAGGCACTTGCAGGTTGGAACTTGGGCCTCAGCGTGCCTCAACATAAATGTGCGTCTCAGCGTAAATAGGCAAGAGCAAGGCCACCCTGCTTTTCACGGGCTGTCAGGCTGTCCAACTGACAGCCCATGAGACCTTAAGTTGCAGCCTCCAGGCTCCCACCTGGCTGCCACTCCTTTTATCAGTGCTGGAGCCAGCATCTCCAAGCTCCCCCTCTCTCCTCCAGTTTCTCTGTTCTGCACCTGCCCCAGAGGGCCGTGCAACACATGCCATGATGTGAGGAGTTCAGGGTGAGGCCAGGCTGCACAGCACATGGTAGGGGGCATCCACATGGGGGTGTTGCAATGCTGGGGAGAGGAGGAAGGTGCCCAAGAGCAGTCTCCATGCTGCCATTAGCTAAGGCAAACATAGGAATTCTTGCAAGTACCTGGTGGGTCACTTCACCAACTAACTCTGTATTTATTTTTGTAATGAAGACACCAATCACTATAATTTTACTTCTTGATCCGTCTCTTCAAAAACCTTTTCCCTTTCTGCTGGCCAACAGGTCTGTAATTCAGAGCTGAGCCCACAATTAAGTGAGATAGCATTAAAGGGATGGATTTCCACATCTTCCACGTTTAATTTTCCCTTTACGTTGAAGTGTTGCTTACTCCTCCTCTCTTTGCACTCAAGGTCTGTGCAGCTGCTTTTGGACCTAAAAATTGCTTTTGGTGCATAGCTCATTTAAGTCTACTTTTGAAGGTGACCTGCTGCCTCATACTCTTTGCTGCAGCTATATGATCAAGTGAATTTCAAGGGCCTTTGGTTTTAAGACTTATTTAAACCATATAAATGTGAAGAGTACTGAAGTCTCATCTTCAGTTTTTTGCTGAAGGACTGGACTAGAATGTTACTCAACTATCACCATATGCTACAACAGCCTTCTAGAAATATAAATGAATTAATTTTTGCTGGCACTGGGTTGGCTAATTTGATCCAGGGTCAATAAGCAGTTTCTCCTAGTGAGATCACAACAGACAGAAACCAGAACAGCAGTTTTGCCCCGTTTTCCCCAAGTCAGGACCAGGTATTTCTAATGCAAAACAAGCAGAATAGTGTCTGGAAAGAGAGACACAAGGAATTAATAAAGGCTCAGCTTAGGTCTTCTGTGCTTTTAATTTCCTTTTTGAAGTAACAGGTTGGGCAAAAAGGAAAGTACTAACTCAAAGTTTGATCTAATCTGTTTAGTTGATTCTGGGAGAAACCATCACCACATCCATCTCGCATCAGAATTAATCACTTTGCTCTTATTAAAACAAAAATCAGAGGCAAAGTTAAAACACAGTTTTGTTTTATTCATTTATAAATACTGTTGTGTTTACAAGCATCATATAGATGTGAATATTATTCCCAAACTTTCAAACACATAATACTTATAACTATATAACAACACCCAGTAAAACAAATCATTCATCTCGGGGTTTGAAAGGCCACTCAAAGTTGCATAAAAATACATTCTTCCCCCCCATTTCATAAGCTAGTCCTGCTTTCTCTGAGTTGTGTATTTACAAAGAGCCATGAAACTCCTTAAACCAGGTAAGTACAGCATACTTACTGCTTGGAGAGGTGGGACACCACCAGCAGAGTCAATCCATCTCTTCCAAGATTAGCAATCAAGATGTAAGGGCATTTCCTGGAAAGAGTCTGCATTTCCTATGAAAAGCAAGGGGAAACAGGGCAACTTTGCTCTGCTGCATCCAGATTGTTGCCCCAGGTACTCTCTGAAGCACCAAAGCAGCTTTTTGTTTTTTCTAGCTGGGGGCGAGAGTAGAAGGGCTGCGCACAAGACAGGGTGGAGCCAAGGGTGGGGACTACTTGCCTGTGTGGCCTGTGACCCCTGGATCTGCAGCGTGTAGTGTGTGCAGCCCCTGGCTGCCCAGGAGTTGGACAGCCCTGAAGTAACCAATACCCACCCCAAGCAGAAATGAGAAATCTGTTTTCAGGAGAAAGAGAGGGAGAAGGAAGCACTGACCCCAGGGCTGGTCGAATGTCAGGCACAGCCTTCGAGCTCTCTGTGGAATGCTGCCGGAGCTGGTGACTCCAGGAGAGTCTCGTAGAGGACAGGGATTGAACTACAGGCCCTGGAGTGACCTCAACAGCTCCTCAGAAAAATGAAATTGTGGACTTGCTCCATACCAGAAACACCAACACTTTCCAAGACCTTTAAAACACATTTTGCTCCTGACCTAAAACCTACCTGACTTCCTACAACAACTATCTTTGAAGATAGCAACTAAAGAAGATACAAGGATTCAAACTTAAATTTAACAACTGTTCTGTGTTTCTGGTAGGGCGGCATGATAACAATCTGACTGAAAAAGGAATAACCAAGATGAATGTGTGGAAAAAGGGAATCTACAGCAACATGTACAAGCATGAAAGCAAGCAATGTAGAACAGCTGCACCAGACCTCCTGCCTCAGATTGCAGCTGTCACTAGTGAAATGTCACTGTTCCCTTGCTTTGGGAGAAGTGCCTACAGTTCAGCACTAATAATCATTCTCATGAATGGCCACATAAGTGCGTTGCTGGCAGACAGCTTCCATTGACCAGGAGCAATCAGGTGCTACCAGGCCTGTTTACTCCAGGATGACTCTAGTCTGGAAACTCCAGCCAGCTTCCTCCTCCTCCAAAAATGAGCTGTGGCCAAGTCTAGGCAACAGAACAGGTGCTTCTTTTTTTGGTGTGATCATTTTCTAGCAAAGGGGGGCATTTCTTCAGCAGGCTATTGCTAGGGAATCCTATGTTCCAATGTTCACGGGTCTACGGAAGAGAAGGACTATATAGGACAACAGACTCCTCTTCCAAAGGGGCACATTTTCCTAACCAGCTCTCAGTTCCATTTGGTGTTAGAAGGATCCCACACCTAGTTTTAGATTTTCAAGGAAGGTCATGGAAACAATGCCCTTACCAACTTCCTGCAAATTCGCTGTTTGTCCTAGCAGCAGCCTCTTACAATCCATGAGCTGTCTGTTCATTCAGAGAAGACAAGAGGAAATGTAAGTGCTATGAATACATGGGAGATAAAGTAGCATAGGAAGTACCTAAATAACCCAAAATGCCTGCAAGTGCCCAAGGAACTGTGGAGGGAAGATAACAAGAGAGGACCGCAAGCCTTGAAGCGTATGTAAAAACGACTGGTATTTCAAAATGTGTTCTGGGACTCCATTGTCTTTGGAGGCTAGAAGCCTCACCTCACTGATGAATCAATGAAACAAGCCCCAGAAAGGACAAAGATGCAAGCTGAGGTTATCAGTCCCACTCATCTTGGGTAGGACTGATAGCAAGGAGTACATTCTAGCAGTGACACAGTCTTTTCAGCCTACCCTAGGCAAATAATACGGTGAAGTTCTTGCGAGCTTCCTTGGACCTAAGCTTGATGGACAGGATCAGGTCTGAACAATCTGTTCCTCTGCAGAAGACTGTTATAGATTGAGTCATGTTTTGTTTTTCTTTTTTTTTTTAATTTAAAAACAGCTTTGAAAACAATCTAAGTTGCTTCCTGCCAGCAACACTCAAACACATTCGTTCACTACACTGGATTAGCTGAATTTGCCCAAGAGGTTATCTTTTCTTCTGAGACATTTACAAGACACACAAATCCTTTCAAATCAGGTCCCTTCAAATAAGATTAGGACCAAACTAACCTTTTATCAATGGAAACACCACAGTTTAAAAACCTAGTACAATCACTGAGTTGCATGCACTTTATCAATGACTTATTGGTAATTAGGGCCATATCCTATAGTATTACCATGATTGATGGCCTTGGTGATGAAAGCCCCTACTGACAGCAAAAAACCCTGAAGCACTTAACAGTGCAAAGGAAGTGCTATACAGTTATATCAAAGACATAATAACCAATCCAAAATCTGCATGGCTGACTTACTGAGGGTCAAAACTCTGTCTCACACACTACACTTATAAAAATAGGCACTGCTGCAGATAGGCTGCTCTCTGAATGACTGAAGCATGGCTTGCCTGTTCTCTAGACTAATGAGCAACTAATTCAACTGACAGTGGATCAATATTGATAGTGAGTAGCTCTCACTACTGCCTCACATTCCCAAGATAAAATCTTCAGTTATTTTGTGCAACAGAACCCTAGTCACACTGAATATCAGTCCTATACAGATGTCTCAGCTCTGCCTCCATTTCTTTAAAAAGCCCTTTCTTTTACTTTTCAGAGGTAAATCCATTATTACCTCTAGCCCATTAACGTTTAGTTTAATGCGAGAGAAGTCAGTTTAATCTCCAGCCAATTGAGCTCATCACATAGATGCACCTTCCTACTATGACAGCTTGCAAGACATTCCCTGTATGCAGAGCATATTTTTGTAAGCTCTGACAACTGCGATGCATCTCTTAGCAAGCCTTCAGCTTCACCCATACCAAACAGACCTGTTCCCATCTCAACAACTCATTTCACAATTTGAGCAACGAACCTGAAACCAAGTCCACACTAAAAAACATTTCTTCCTCATTCTGAGTTAGTGTTTGTGGCCCTTTGTTACCCTTACCATAAAGTCAGTCAAAGGTGACATGGTTTAACCCTACAGCAGGAGACTACGAAGAGAAAAGATCAGCAAGCACTTAAGAGGTGCAAGAGCATTTCTAAAGTACAGCTTTGATGTTAACCTCGTATGGGTAGGAAAGTAGTTGTAAAAAAGCAAAGGGCTTCTTTCTTGATTTGACAGATTTTTTTTTTTACATACAGACCCTGTAATCTTCACAGTTCCTGTGTGTGTGCTGCACACATGTGCATGCACACTGACACCCTGACTTCCATGTTTCCCTCCTTATAGAGTCTGACTGACAATTCTAGGAATCACTGAAACTATGTCATCTTTGTATATCGTATGATCTCCTAGGAGGCTAAAAGTTGAGCCTTCACATACCAAAATGGAACTATGTTACCCAGTAGAGGAAAAAAGGAAAAAAATTGCCCTGAATTCTACCAATTTTGGAGAAATGATCCTTAACTTATCAGGAGGACATGCTCTATAAATTAAGCATATTAAAACTATTTATCTCTTGCAGCTGCAATAAGTTCTTTGGATAAAAATGGGTCCCCAAGCAATTGCTTGGAACAAGGTTTTAGTTCTTTCCAAGAGATGATGTTATGATTAAAATAGATATTTTTTTTAAAAACAACTGCTTTTCACCACTGAAAGTCTTGAGTATAGAAAGCCAGGTGTCCTGCACCTTTTCTCTTTAATCCAATAGTAAAATCAGGAGCGGTTTGTTAGACCCAAGGAACTCTGAAGAAGTTGGTTTTCATCAGCACTGTGCAACAATAAAATACTCACAGTTCTGGCTACTCAACGGAGCTAAGCTACTGATGCAAGTTCCACCCCCAGACATTAGGATGGTAAAACCCAGTGCTAAACAGACACTTAACTGAAAGTGTCTTGGCTTCACATGTTAACATAGGAGAACCATGCTTTTTGCATCCCTTATTATCCTTTACAGGTTTTTCTTGAGGAGCAAATATGCTAAGGAGATATTCCTTCAACCTACAGTGTTATGTAATGCTCCAAGTAGATAGTAGCTAAAATCCTAGTGCAGAATGAATACTGCAGAAGGGGCTAGATACCTCAGGATTTTCCATACTTCTTGGCACTCTTCTCGTCAAAAGAAGAGTGATTAACAATTTGAGATCCCGACCCTCCTACAGGAGGATGTGTGCTGATCAGATGCTTACATACTAGCATATCAGATGGAAAACATCCTTCACACCAATATCAGTGGCTTCTGACAGGCATGAAACCTATACAACATAGGAAGTGACCAGACTCTTGACATATCCAGACTCAAGAGATATTCAAATCTGAAGTGAGGAGCATCCAAAAGAAGTGGACCACAAGATGAAAGACATAGAGCAAGTACTTACACAAAGACAGCAGCATGTAGGTGAAGTATGAGGCTACAAGCATTGACTCATTTCAATTCCCAAGGCTCTCAATTCTTAGAAGGAATACAAGGAAAGGCTAGGTGCTTGCTGGAGCCAGTGCATTGTAGAAGATGCGAATGCTATAATTTGGCCCCTTCTTTCCCAGATCCGTGTTGCAGAGGGAATTTCTCAGAGTATAAAAAGAAAAAAAAAAATCTCTCTTCTGAAGCACAAGTGACTACTTGGACAACCAAGTGGGGGCCCAAACAGAGACCACGGTAAGTCTGGTTTAGTTGTGTTCAGCAGAAAGCGTGTAGACGTAACGCAAAGTAGACGAAGTTGGAAAAAGTTCTGATACAAAATATACAATGGAGGAGACTAGAAGAAACCATCTGAAACCAACAGCTACTGAAGTCTGAGAACAAACTTTGGAAGAGAACTGGAACGTGTGGAAGTAAGAAGGAAAAAGCTGGAAGTCAGTCAAAAAGCACATGGCCTGGATACAGAAAAGTGCTACAACTGCCCTAGCACTGGCAGAGTGTGCCTTTGCAAGAAGCCCTTCTACGCAAAGCTCAGCAAACGTGTTGACTTGTTATAACCCAGCTTCCAAGAAAAGCTAAGAATCAAAAGCATCCAGCATCTGGAGGAGCTGCTTTCTGAATGCCCACGAGAGAGAACACTTTCAATCTGTTTTAAGTACTTCTAACATGAAAGAGCCCTTTGAGGTTTTCCATCAAGGTCAAATCCAGTTACTAGCTTCCAGCAATAAAAAAATCACTCCACAGATTCAGTTACCAGTATGCACTGAGCACAGACTCATTCTTGCTCCTATTAAATAAATATAATTATACCCTTCCATGATATGCAGCAGGACAATTGGTCACTGTTTCAGGCAGCTGGAAACAGCTGTGTCAGGAGCTTCCACCATCCTCTTGATACCTCCCCTGCACACATCTCTTCTCCCACCTAACTCCCTTTAAGCCCAACTCAGACTACTGCTGCATTTTCATTTGCTTTTGCGCCTGCTGACAGTGACATGAAAGATCTGCTTAGTGTGCTCCTCTCATAGTAGGTTAGTAGAGAAATGCTCCATGTTGCTCTTGGAAAAAAGGGACTGCTTACTTGTATTTGCATACCTCACTGTATGGATATTCACACTCAGATGTTACATACACATGTAAATATAGCAGGTGATCTCTACTGACCCAGCTTCTCTTTTGGAGGCTTTTACCAGTGATAAATCCTATCCCGAAAGGCAAGGGTCAAGATTTAATTAGCAATGCCATTACCTGGACAGTAACTGAGACAGTTATCCTGGAAGGAGTACAGAGTGATGCATCATCACCACCCAGGCTGCACAGGTTTGGCAGGGAAAGAGGGATCCAAAAGGCAGGGTTTAGAAATGAAGTTACCAAAATGATTTAAAATCTTACATTAAATAAGGAGAGACTCAGCTACTCAAACAGGAAGAGAACAGATTCTCTGTGCAAAGCAGCTGTTGTCAGTCTGTCACAGAAATGAGCCCTCATGGCTTTCACAGCATCACCATTTAACCAGATTCCCAAACACCAGTGGGGAGGCTGACACTTCAGTGCTCTTGCTCATGCTTCCCACCCCCACCCCCCAACCACCTAAAAAGGGCTTGGGCATGCTGGATCACTTCCCTATTCATTTCTGCATTGTTTATTACAGTAGATTGATTCTTTACTCCAGACTGGAGTCACCTTTGAACACGACTTCATGCCACAAGCCGAGTCTTGACCGCTCAAACCTAATCCTCAGGTTTTTCTCCCTCTTGAATAAAATGCCCAAGATATCACAACATGCTTAAATTAAAAATAGTAAAACAGCTGGGGGTGCCTTTAGGGGGCAATGAGGGAATGTACAGTGGTGGGAGGAGCAGAGGGAGGTGACAAGTTGATCCCATATCTGCAATGCTTGCAGTACTTCTGCTTGGAGGGCAAGAGGTGTTGAAGGGGTTGGTGGCAGGGTTGGCAGCTTGTGCAGAGACACCCCCTCCTCCTTCCTTTGATCAAATTTCCTATTTGGAGAGTTTGCTGATGACACGGATGAGCGCTCCATTTTCATCTTTCAGCCTTTGATTATCTGACTTCAGCTCCGTTAAAACCTGCAAAGACACAGACAGGGCAGGGTTTATGCCACTCATGATCACTACTACAAAAGACTCGCAGGTCACAGGGGCTAAGCAGGGCTCAGCTCACAGTCTTCTCAAGGTTGGACTAACAGCAAGGACACTTACAGTACTTTCCCTCACTGTATGTCTCTTCCACTGCAAGTTAGTTGAATTCAACATATTTATAACTTCAAATGAGTTTCCAAAATCCTTTGCAATTTCTTCATAACCCTTTGAGACTTCTGAAACATCGGCCCTTTCAAACTATTTGAACAGGTGCAAGTAGGGAGGTAGGTGGAATAACATTAGAGCACCAAAAAAGCAAACAACCCTAAGAGGGATGGTTCAGTGTGGGAAACAGCTGTTTCCTACCATGACACACCACAGCCTTAAGCAGTGCAGACAGGGGTAAGGCTTAGGAGAGCAAGAATGACTTTAAAGCTAGACCAGTAGATGCTGAGTCAAGTGCCAGTAGCTAGTGATGACCAACAGCAAAAAGATAAGCAGTGACCACTTGAAAAAACAGTATTAGAAGTGTACTGATAAAACACTTGTAACTTCTAAAGGAGTAAGAGAAAAATACATACAGGGAGAAGTTATCTGCTGCAGCATTTAGTCATTAAATACTAACGACTACATTAGAATTAAACTCATTTTCAAACCAAGAGTTCTTTCAGGCCTTGAGGTAGCTGACCCAGCCCTCAAATCAAATACTGCTCCCACAGTGCAAAAGAAACCTCTCTGGCAAGCCCTTCCAGTACTTCGCTGTATCACTCTTTAAGTAAAAGCACAAACTATCCCCCCCTCCCCGCCCCCGCCTTTACAGGTTACCTTTTAATGTCCAAGTTAAGAGAGTCTTGGTTACAGCAATTTGCACCCCACGAGGAGTGGCAGGAAAAAGCTTAGCTTCACATATACTAGAGTGCATTACAAACAAAACAAAATAACACAAAAACTAGCTGATAGCCTTATTGTGGACTAGGCTGTGATAGCTGAACTCATGTTTGCTGCAATCTGTGGAAAACTAGTTAAAGTGAAAGTGGCCTGTGGGAGGGAAGATAAATTTCCATGCACACTAATACTACTGTTACCTATCAATGTTGATATGCACTTTAAAATCCTGGAAAATTTCCCCAAGCAAAGCAGCCTTTTGTAACATGCAGCTGAATTTAATTGAGTGCGGATACCTGCAGCCCATGCCTGGGAAATCAGGAATTCATTAGGTGAGTTCTCACCCAGCTATTTCAACCTTCAGCCACAAATTCATCCTCTCCTTATGACCTCGCCTCCTCCTTCCACCTCCACAAAGCACGAGAACTTATATCAGACTACAAGCTACTGGAATAAACAGAGCCCTATTTCCTCATTACGACGTTTAGATTAACATTACTGCAATCAGACAACTCCCAAAAGGGAAACACTAGCACACACTATGTCCATTAAACTATTCCCTCCATTAACAAACAAACAAGAACCTGTACTGCACACATTAGCTGCCTAGCCCAGCACAATTCCCATCCAACATTTCAGCCCACAGGCTTCCATCTGACTCATTGCACATTATCAGGGACAAAGGCATCAAATTTTGTATGGTGCAGAGGGGTAGGACGAGATGGAACTGGGACTAGCTTCCCGGATCAAGGACAACAAGAAGTCCTTTTTTAAATACATAGGGGGCAAAAAGAAGGTACCGGGTAATGTGGGGCCCCTGCAAGATGCACTAGGAAATCTGGTCGTCACACCAGAAGACAAAGCTAACCTATTTAACAATTTCTTTGCCTCCATTTCCCTGAGCATGGACCGGATCAGCACCCCCACCGGGACCCCCCTCAGGCCCCAGGGGAGGCGCACCCAGGCCTAGGGTCAGTGAGGATTTAGTCAGGGAACTTCTGGAGGGACTGGACATGTTCAAATCAGCAGGTCCTGACGATCTCCACCCCCCGAGTGCTGAGGGAATTGGCTGAGGTCGTTGCAGGACCCCTGACACGGCTTTACGAGCACTCGTGGTGCTCTGGAGAGGTGCCAGAGGACTGGAAGAGGGCCAGCGTGGTTCCCATCTTCAAAAAGGGGAGGAAGGAGGACCCGGGAAACTATAGGCCAGTTAGTCTTACCTCGATCCTGGGCAAGCTTTTTGAGAGAATTATCCTGGCACATGTCCACGAGGGGCCAGCAGGGGAGATTAGGCTTAGGGGCAACCAACACGGGTTCATTAGAGGCAGGTCCTGTCAGACCA